AAAAGTGAAAATAGAGGTAAAAATATAAAAAATAAAAGATAAAAACATTTTGCACAATAACATTGAAAGGTATAAACATTTTGTGCTAATTACCTATAATTTTTCCTATACCCCCTTTTTTGAGCACATGCCACTCTTTGTTTCATCTCTTTCCTTAAAACCCTAAAGTCTCTCTCCAATATGCGGTGCCTCCTTTGGCAGGTAGCGGCAATCTTCTTTCTTGGCACGTATCATTCTTCTACTCGTTTCTTATTGATATAACATTATAATCAAATCACATAACATATTATTGATCTCAAAAAATGCGCCAACAGAATTCTGATCTTGTCCCTTCCATGTGGACATTACTTGCACACTGAACAAACCGTTAGGAGGCAAAGGTCACCGATCGAGAAAAATGTCTGACGACCCTTTGCACTCGAACGATCAAATCAACTGCCAGACAAGAGAATATGAGTGCAAGAGAGGGAGAGGGGATTTGGATAGGATTAGAAAAACATACTTTAATTATGAAATGAGTCTCGTATATATAGAGAAATAAATGGAGACGGGCTTGGTAGGTTAAAGAAATGAACCAAGTCCAATGAGACCCAATATGAACTAGGTATAACATATTTTTGTGTCAGATTATTAATTGGCGGCCTCCAAGAAATAAAAAATCAATTTTTTTTATTTTATTTTTTCATTCTTCTCTTGTCATGTATTTAATTTTATTTTTTTTAATAAAGTTGATTGACTTTCAATCTTATATGAACTTCAATTCAACCATTTGAGCTATTGAAATAATTATTTGTTCAGCCTAGTTTAACTGTGACATAAGTTTTTAATGCTTCTCTTTTTGGGTTCCAGTTGATAATAAACTAATTTTGTTGGAAAATCAATCACCGGACTCTGGTTCGAGCCTATTTTCGTTTTTTTGTATCAGTGTTATAGCTCACTAAACTGTATTTCGTCACAATGAATGAACAAGGAGCTCCTTCAACCGGTTTTCATGGTTCCTAAATTTATAACAGGACTTTTATTAATAAATTAGACATATATAGTTATTTAGGGGAATGTTGTAGATGGTTTTGTGGTGAGGTTGGGTGGGTTTATTATCCCACTTTTCTTGAGTGATTCCCTTGGTATACAGCCTCTTCATTCTTAGCGTACGCTTGTGATCTCTCGCTGTGAGAAGCTGAATTTTTTGTTTTTTTATTTTTTGATTTTGCAGATTGCTTTATGAAAATAAATAAATAAATAAAAGAGTGTCGAAGTGAGGTGAGAAATGAATGACATAGAGATGAAAAATCCCGATCCTGTGGTTTCTGAGACTGCATCAGAATCAGAAGAAGATGAAGATGTGAAACTGACTGAACCTTCAACCAATGCTGTATACAACAAAGATGGCTTGTTTGATAAACTCGGAGATATAAGTTGGCCTGACAATGTTAAATGGATACACAAGCTTTTGATCGATATCGATAAGGAGCAAGAGGTAAATGATGACTTGACACGGGAGCTTGCTTTCTACACCCAGGCACTAGAGGGCACGAGGCAAGCTTTAGTGGAACTTTAGTCAATGCAACTTCCTCTTCTTAGGCCTTCTGATTATTAGGCAGAAATGGTTAAGTTTGATGCGTACATGGAGAAAGTTAAGAGCTTGCTGTTAAGTGAAAAAAGAAAGGTCGAGGAGGCTGAGAAGGAAGGCTAGAGAGTAAGAAGTTAGCTAAAGAGATACAGGCACAGAAGCTAAAGGAGAGGATCAAGCAGAACTGCAGAAGAAAGAAGATGTAGAATCTGTTAAGAAGTCGAGAAAGCATAGGCTGCTCAGCGGATTTGAAGGGGAAAATAAAGATGGCGACTTTGATTTGGATTTTGAGAATGGAAAAGCGTTTGAGAGATCGAATAAGAAGAGGCGTGGGGTGGCTCCTGGAGATCGCTGTGGAGGGAAGCCAAAACAGGTTGTTTTGGCGAAAACAGGAAGAAAGGATTGGATATAACCCGGAAGAATAGGGAATTTAGGGATTCCAAGTTTGGATTTGGAGGGAAGAATTGGTTGAAAAACCAAAACACAGTTGAGACCACAAATGATATAAGAGGCTTTAAGAAAAGCAATTTTTCTGGTAAAAAGAAACAGAAAAGGCGAGAGATTGGATCGTGTTATGGTTCAAAATAATTTATGAATGGCCTCTTCTAGCTCGTCTGAGCCTTTTTTAAGTCATTATAGATTTGTCTATGCTCACAAATTTGTGATGTTTAGTTTTATTCATGTTCAATTGAAGCATTTACTTTATATGATCTTGATTATTGCTTCAATGCTGTTGTTGTTAATGATTTTTTAGTGGAACTTGCCTTGTCAATCTTGAGATTAGCATTATGCCCTTTGTTCACGGATCTACCATTGTTTTGAACACTACTTAGACGGTTTCTACATATTTGTTACGCATTATTCCTAGTTCTGTATATCAAACGTGCCATTGTTTTTTAGGAATGAGATTCTCAATGGTGATTGTCGATCTTTTTCCCTTGAAGCATATTATCACTAGGAGATTTCCTCTTTTCTTTTTTCTTTTTTTCTTTTTTTTTATGAGTTGGTAGATTTGTTACACTCGTAATTTTAATGCATTTGTTTATTAAAGTAGAATCTTAGCCAGTTTGAGTGAATTGTCAATTTGTCTAATCTTATTACCAAAATCATTTTTGAACAATCTGGTTGATTTAGCTATGTGTTTCGTCAGATACCCCAGACTGTGGATTCTGTTCCAGCTTTACATTTGTCAAAAATTGTAGCCACTTTTTAACTTCTTGCTTGCCCAAGATGGAAAGAGGAGTGGACAGTTGACCTTTCAACCTCTTTCTCTTTCACTGGATACTTTCTTCATTCAGAAGGCTTAATTATGATATGCAACCAACGGTCATTTCTTGGATCAAATCATTAAACCAATGAATAGTTTAAGTTTCTATGTGTTGATGATTAAATTTGAGTGATTTTTTAACAATTTAAAATTTTAAATGAAGTGGTTAATATGAATAATGTTACAGTCGAGGTGACGTTATGTGATAAGACTCAACAAAAGATAAAATTAAATGACTTATTTAATTGTTCCACTATTTTAGTATCACATTAGTATTATCCAAACTAGTGATGCTACTTAGCATTACTCAATTAATAGAGTGTTAAGAGTAGTTAAAGGTGTTTTCAAATGTCAATGACACTTATTTATGAGGATTATGCAAGTATTTTTAATGAAAAAATAGATCAAAAGTTACACCAAGATTTTGAATCGAAAGAGATATTTCAGAGAATTGACTGATATGTTCTCTATACCAATAATTGAGTTGGGTTCGGCATGAGAGGAGCGTGTTGGATACTAAATTTTAATAAATATAATTTTTCATTGTTTAAATTTTTAGATGAGATGGTTTGGTATTATGACAATATTGGAAAATGAATACTGCATTAGAAACTGATAGTGAATACACCATTAGGAACTGAGTGTCAATGTGGGGCCATCTTTGGTAGTTGCTTGACTTTGATTAAACAATGAATGGCAGTTAAGACCCACAATTTAGTTAGGAAAGAAAGGTCAAGATTAATTAGTTATAATCAATTGACAGAGGATCATTAAACTGATCACATAACATGTGTACAAGATTAGCTTTCACAACACACCTCATCATTCAATCCTTAGGTTGTACTAAAAGAGTAACTTCCTTGCACACTTCTTCATTGAGTCCCCCCTATAAAAGGCTTGATTCATTTCTATTATGCTAACAAGTTCCAAAATTCTTCTCAAATTACTCCCTGCTCTCGAGTCGGTTCTTTCTACACCAACAAGATCAAAGACCTCAAATTTAATATATAAGAGAAGAGGTCTTCGGAAGTAGCTAAAGGAAGTGTCTAAATACATCGATTTATACCAACGTGACTGCTTACTATTTTTACGAGGCATCTCAGAATTTGTCAATTTTTGCTTGTCATCATGTTTGTTTCCACATTTGAATTGATCTGCCTGGCAGCCTCCAATTCTCATGCTGTTTTTTGTTTCTTCAATCTAATCATAGCCATTCTAGTTGTTGGCAGTTCCAAGTCTACTTCACAGTATAATGAAAAGAAACCCGATCCTTGTCATAGCTTTGCCCATGAAAACAAAGATTCCACAAACATGAAAAATGCCTCTTCTTCAAGTGAGATAGAGAAGAAATTGGTCAAAACTGATGAAGATGAAGCATCATTTGTCAGTATAACAACTGTCAACGATGAAGAAAGAAGCTTGGTTGAAGAAGAAGAAGCTGAAGCATCATTTGTTAGTATAACAACAGTCAACATTAATGAAGAAATAAGCCGGGATGAAGAAGAAGATGACGATGATGAATTGAGAAGAAGAATTGAAGAATTTATTGAGAAAGTTAACAAAGGATGGAGGGTTGAAAAGTTGAAAACATATTGTTTAGTCCAGTGACAGTGTCAATGAAAGTCGTCAAGTCTTCTCCGGGCATTCCAATGGAAATTTTATAGAATAATTACATAAATTAAGCACTTGTTTTAGTCCAATCACCAATGTTCATTCTTTTTCTTTCCCCAAAGTTTTAGCATCTTTTGTTTATTGGGTAGAATGGAAAGGATACTACTAGACAGCATTAAAGAATAAAAATAAACAAAAATCTCATAATTTATAGAGTAACCATGTCCGTAATGCATACTAAACATGTTCCAGGTGTCGTATGTTTATACATAAGAAGTGTCAGTCGATTTCAAGTTTGCAGATTTCCCTTTTCAATCTTTGATGAAAGGAAGATTTTTTCTCCTGATGATATCATTTTCTTGGCTCCATAACCAACTTTATTTTAGATTACTTGTTCAGGTCTTTGCTTGATTTGTAATTAAACTCAGTGGGTAGATGTAGAAAAGTCAGTAAGAAAAGACCACACTTTTTCCTGTCTGATTGTAGTATATAATCTTCACTTTAAGTAATAGATGAGCAAATAGGAAAAAGAAGTTTGTCTTCCAATATAAATAAAAGTGACAATAAATTCCAGTTTCATGCATTTAAAATTCTACAAGAAGTTACACAACAAGATAGAGTAAAACAGTATCATAGAACAATCACACTACCACAAAGTCCTAAACCTAATGCCTAAAAGGGAGGGAGAAGGAAACTTTGGGTCGAACCACTTGATAACATACAGCTAATCGACGCTCTAACAGGGGGTCAGAAGTAAGTAAAGGCTAAAAGTTCCATACCGAACAAAAACAGCTAAAATACAAAGAAGATGAACACAAATGACACAATCAGCAAGTAATATCATGGCTATGCTCTCTAGAATCTTCTCCTTGAAGTGAGGCATTGTTTTCTGGGTCCGTGCCCATCGAGACATGCATCAAGTCCAGAGAAGCCGAGTTGTCTCCATGGAAGGAAGCAGATGAGGTCAAATTTGGCTTCTGTCCACCATAGGCTCCTTCGAATCTTTCTTCAGAAATAGGATTAGCAGGACTTTGGGTAAAAGCTATCGAGTGTTCGTATTTTGGTTTCTTGGGCTTTTGCTCTTGCTGATGACCCGGGATAAAGCTCCCTAGCACAACCTGTAATATATACATGTTTAAATATGTTACTTTTCTTTTACTTTTAGGTAAAAATAGAAGTTACAATGAAAGTAATTCTTGCCTTATTGACATGAATAATATTATCTAATGTGGCATTATGTGATAGGTTCAATCAAATGTGAAATTATGTGATCACATAATTGAACTTGTAATTTAATGTCATTGATGTGCCACCTAAACACCAGTAGTGTTAAATAGCATTACTCTATTGACATATGACCGTCTTATTCGCGTTGTTCAAAAAAGCAAAATAATAATAATAATAATAAATTCCTCACCTGAACAGGTCCAGCTGCGACTAGCATGCCAGCAACTCCTCCCCCCATAACACGGCCATCCGGCCCTGCCAGAGAGACACTCAACCCACCAGATCTGCTTTTCGTCAACCCATTATCGCTGAGCATAAATGATCCCATCAAAGAAAGTATTTCAAAGCAGCCCTGCAGAAATCACACATTTTATAATTTAGAAACATTGGTATTCATTCACTCAAAAAACATTTTCTGAAATTTCTAGTGGACACAAAAATCTCTCACCTCGTATGTCAAAGTACCACCCGAAGAATTAGGTTGACGCAGTGTAACATTTGATATTGCACCATTTGCTGCCAGAACGCAAATTGCTCTAGACCCTTGTTGAGAAAAAGATATGATCTTCATTGTAATATCCTGATAAAATGAGAGAGAGATCAAGATTCAAAAACATAAAGACGGCCATTAGAAATAAATCCAACAAAAAAATCGAAGCTCTAATAAAATTAACGGTATGAATTGAAACGAGTCTCAACTTCCTAATATTGCTGTTACTTACGCTATGCAATCATTGCAAAATTTATGGATCAAATATCATTTGCCGGGATGCAAAAATTGCTTCAAATTTATATCAAGCCCTATATTCACTGCCACCACACTTTCTAAGATACTCAATGAAAATATCATATTTTAATTTCATAAATTGTCTTTTTTTCTTTTAATTTAAGTTGAAGGTTTATCAGTGTACAAAAAGGAGCTATTTAAATGTAATGGCATTAGAAAATGAAACTCTTGGCTCATGGGCATTCACAACAAATTGCAATATAGAACATTAGTTCGCCTTGAAGACTCTACAGGGCCAAATTATAAATAATTAATAAAAATAAATATAAAAAATGATTCCTTGTTCAAATAGAGATACGTGAAAAAATATTAATGGAAAATAAGTTTATTAAATCAAACTGAACGAAAAGGAAATCGTCAAATTTACTTATTCTTAAAAGTACCTCGCCAGTGTTAACAGTAATCACATGGGGAGTAAAACTTGCATCAACAGAGCATGCCACCGATCCTCCTACAAATATAGATATATGTCAAGGCATTTGATAGGGTGAATGTAAAAGTTCATTGAAAGCACAAGCATGCTAAATTACACAAGAACCAACAACTTTTATGAAAATTTACTTGTTACCCCAATTACTTCAAAAACTTCTATCTGGCTGTCCAAACTCTTAATAACATCACAATTATGTTCGATTCTATCCCTCAAAATCTTTGGTTTGCCCAGATACTATAATTGTTGATGTTGTCATCGAGTGTTGATTATTTATTCTATGTGAGTTCTGCAACAATTAATTCAAAACAGTAAATTTCTTTATTGATCATGCACCAACAGAGGAGTCTGTCCGAATAACAAGAAAATTGATATTTTCAAGCTCGACAGTTACCGGAGACAAATGCCGAAATTATCCAAGTAAATGGTGGGCTCCTCTGCATTATTGGCTGGAGTCATATACCAACTGGTTTGTGTTTAAAACAAATACGCTTGGTAGCATGCATAAATTGAGACAACGAATCATGTTAAAATAGGCATTACAGTGGGACTTCCTGAACAACAATATTAACTTTCTGAGATAGCAAATATTATACCCATTTTTGGCATCAGATCCACAAATGTTGCATCACCTTTTCATCATTATCCACTTAGTGCATGATTGGTAAGCAGTATTGAAAAACATTCACCCTTATGAATAACAAAATATTAGTATCTTTTTCATAATATTCTCTCGTATTGTCCAATGCTCCCTACCAAATATAGCATCAATTTCTTTATTCTGCAATTTCTGAATAAAGACAGATCTTGAATCTAGTACATCATCTTAGGATTGAATGATTCCTCAATATCCAGTCCCAGTATCGTAAGGGTTGGAATTCCACATTTGGCACATAAAATATCATTTAAAATTGACCCAAAAACACGAGCACCCTATGAAAGAAAAGCAGATGAGTAGATCCAGTTTCTGTACACTTGCTATAAATATTAAACATGACAACATCATATCCACACAGATTAACCACAGTAACATTCTAATTATATATAATTGCAATGCAACAGTAAAACTAAATAATTATTCTAAATTCTCACTTAGAATCATTTAAAAAAAACACCAAATCAGTACCTGGACTTTCCATTTCCAACTTATGCTTCTTCTTGAAATGGGCGATAGACCGAAATGGAAAAAAAAAAATACATTGAAAAAAAAATTACAAAAAACTTAAATTTTTAAAAAAAAAAGTAAAAAACCCAAAAAAAAAAAAAAACATATTTGAAACCCAATTTAATCCTCTATAAATCTAGAAAATTAGAAATCGGCTCTGAATATTCAAAGATCATCAGGGTACAACAGGGCTCTACTGTTGGAACATGCTCACTGTGATTTCTTGAACTTACAGCTTAATATCTGCATTTGCAGAGCATTAAGGGCTAATGAAAAAATCAAAATGTTAAATCGGAATTTTTGGAAGTAGTTGTGAAATTAGGGTTTTGCTAGAAAAAGTTGATAAAGAAAATAAAGTAGAAAAAATTCAGAATTTTAAAATAAAATAAACCCGAGAAATTAAATATAATAATTTAATTAGGTAAGAAGCAATATTTTTTAAATTACAAAATTCAAAGTATTAATTATGGTTAAGTAAATGGTTTCACGTCCGTCCCGGAAATTTAATAAATTATATATTTAAGAACTTGAAAATTTAATTAAAAAATAGTGAAATTTCGGAAAAGATAATTCTTTTAAATTTTAAAATGCAATTTAATTTAATTTAAAGCTGTAAAGTTAACGTTAGAGGCATGCTTCTTTTTTCAACCTACGACCTGGTCGTTGTCGTTTTGGGTGAATTAAATTTGATTGTGTAAACTAGGATGCCCTTGAATTTATTGATTATTACTGTTTTACCATTTTGTGCACTTTAATGAAGATCAAGAGTAGGGAGGCAATTTGACTCGTCGACTCAGACAGCTTGTGGCTCGTGTAAGAACACGTGACTGCCTATAACGAGCCAAGCCTTGAAAAAATAGCTACTGCTGACAACTATATGCTACTTGTTATGCTACAAATATGAAGTAAAATTTTGAATTTTATATTAATTTACTTCAGTCAGTTTTAACTTGTAGTATTCTAGTTTCAACTTCAATTTTCAATTTTTTTTGTTCTAATATTCAGTTTCTTTTACTCTGATATTCAGTATGTTTTGTTGTATGTTTATATATGGATTTTACTAGTAATGAGATTAATCAATTTATGGGTAGTTCGAGTATTCCGTTCGGCTACGAAACATTTCAAAATGGTCTAATTGATTTAGAGGATATCGAAGAGAAAGAAATACTCGAGACTAAAAGTGTCAAAAAAAAGAATTTTCGAATTATTGGCAGCACATGACACGTAAAAAAGTTAGTGTTTAAAATGAAGTTAATATTTGAAAAGCATGTTGTAATTACTACTGCTGGCAACTATATGTTGCTTGTTATGCTATAAAAATGAAGTAAAATTTTGAATTTTATATTAATTTACTTCAGTCAGTTTTAACTTGAAGTATTCTAGTTTCAACTTCAATTTTCAATTTCGTTGTTCTAATATTCAGTTTCTTTTATTCTGGTATTTAGTATATTTTGCTGTATATTTATATATGGATTTTACTAGTAATGAGATTAATCAATTTATGGGTAGTTCGAATATTCCATCCAGCTATGAAACATTTCAAAATGGTCTAATTGATTTAGAGGATATCGAAGAGGAAGAAATGCTCGAAACTAAAGTGTCAAAAAAAGTATTTTCGAATTATTGGCAACACATGACACGTAAAAAAGTTAGTGTTCAAAATGGAATTGATATTTGAAAAGCATATTGTAATTACCATAGCAAAGAACTTAGTTGGAAGCTCAATTCAAGCACAACGCATTTAAATAGGCACGTATTAAGGAGTTGCAAAGCGAAATTAGTTGGTCTCGACTCGAAACAAAATCGAACTAATGTTTGACAATTTTGGTTTTACTCATTCAACTTTTGTATATTCATAGGAAATATTTCGTGAAAAATGGTTGCGTACACGGCTGTAGTAGAGATGCCGTTTACGATAATAGACTTAATACACTTTACCCGATTTGTGCAGAATTTATCTCCGACATGGGTATACTTCTTAGCGTAGACATACTTTTCGATCAAATACTATAAAATTATATAATAAAAGAAAACAAGTTGAAAGAGAATGTCTAAAAAATTTTAATAATGTTATATCATTTACCCTTATTTTATGGATCGATAGTAATAAAAAATGTTATATTGTTGCTACGACTCATTACATTAATCATCTGTGACTTCTACGTAAAAGGATTATTGAGTTAAGATGTGTAAAATATCTTTATAATTTCGCTAACATTTACATAATTTTAAAAGATATTATGAGAAATTGTTCGAAATTTTACTTTTGATAATACTATTGTGAACAAAGGTGTTATCAAAAAATTTATTAATGATCTTAACCATGTGTTCGGAAGTTTATTTTTCATTAATGTTGTGCATGTCACATTATCAATTTGATTATAAAAGATGGATTAAAACAGATAAAATGGCTCTAGATAAAATTGAATAAGTAATAAATTTTATTACCGTATCATCAGCAAAAAAGTAAACACTTAACAATTTGTGTGCAAAGTATGACTTACAAGATAAATCATTACCCACTAATGTAAACACATATGGAACTCTACATATCTTATACTACATTCGTGTAAAAATTATGATAAAATTATTTCACTATATTCTAATGGTAAGCATACATATAAACCCGAACATAATTTGAAATATTGAAAATAGTCTATTGCATTGTGTGAAAATTTTCTTAAAACCTTTTTTCGATGTCACAAAGGAACGTGGTGATGTTTATTGCCTACATTTTTACTTGTTTTACAAAACTTTTTCTACATTTACAAACATTTCATAAATATAAGAATTTGCCACTTTTGTTGATTTAGTCTATTCTATGGAGTTAAAATTTCTTAAATATTAGAAAGAGTTGTTCTCTTTATTTCTTTTAATTTCAATGATAAACCATTGACTTAATTTAACTGGTTTAAAAGTTATTATAAAGGAGATTTCAAATTTCATGAATGTGAATTTATTATTTGTATTATCAAATCTATGTTATATGAAATGTCTAACTATTATGTTGAAAAAGCAGGTCAGGGCAATTTTACTTTCCAAAATTCTTTTTTAAGAAATAATTCAACAAATTTATATAATATATAACACTAATACAAATGTTCTCTCATTTAGTTCTAATTCATAAATATCTAGAATGATAAATGTCAGTGGTACAAATCCTGAAATTCCTTCTGAGTTAGTTAGAAATTTGTACGTAAATATTCGTAGTGTGCTACGATCAAAAGAATTACAGAAATTTAGTTTTCTATCATAGTGGAGATGTAACGAAATGCAATATTTAATTGTATAAAAAATTACACGTGATCTACTACCACCTTCTATGTCTACAGTAGCATCGGAGGCTATATTTAATTTAGGTAATCGAATATTACCAAACAAACGATCAATACTAAGAGAAGATGTATTGAAAACTTTAATATGCTTGAAGGACTTGGAGTGTGCGGAATTACGTATTCAAGAACAAATTGACAGTATAATAGTCGAAGAGTTGTAACAGATCAAAGAATAGGATATTGTAAGTTTTTAAATTGGTTAGTTTAAAAAAATACATAATTTTTAAATTTATTTGTTTCAAGAATATTTCATATTTGTACAATTTTAATTCCGCCTACATTGATTGTAGCCAGTCCCATACCTGAAAAAATGAGGATGGTTGTAACTTTCATTTAATTTATAGTTTTTATAAATTGCACAAGTTTTAAATTCTTTAAGAAATGTTAAATTTGTCACGAATTAAAAAAAAAATGAGCTGGCTCGACTCGTTATGGCCTGAGCCTAGATTTTTGGCCAAGCAAAAGCTTGGTTCAACTTGAGCCAAAAAAGTCCGAATCATTTTTATCCAAACCGAGCTGAGCTTCGAGTTTTGGCTCACGAGTTGGCTCGACTCATTGACATCCCTAACCAAGATCGAAGAAAAATCATTTCTTGTAATAATGGAAATTAATTAGATCAAAACTAACTTGATATGTTGTGAATGTGAATTTGATTGAACAAAAGATAAAAATCAAGAATATAGAAACTTCGTGTAAAAGAATACATGCAACTCTTATTGTAGTTGATTTTTTTTTTTTAATGAAATCTTGTTATGATTCATGTCCTAGAGTCGATCAACTAAATTCTCGAATAAAGAACGGAAATTTTATATCGCTTTTGAGCGAACATCAACCTTAGACTTGCCAAAAAATATGAAAATTTTCGTTGATTTTCATGCTTATATAAGTTCAAAAAGCAACTTTTTATTTAAAAATGATGTACTAAAAAAATTTGAAAAAACAAAAGTTTGTTCTTAGGAAGCGAAATTTTAATTTGCTTTCGAGGAAGATAGCAATGCCAAAAATCTGAAATTTTTATGCTGGAATAAGCTCAAAAAGTAACTTCTTTTTTTTCTTCTTTTCAAACTAAGTTATACACATATATTAAAGGTGTATTTGATATGTTTTACGTTTCTGCTTTTACTTCATGGAGAAGAACTTTTAGAGGAAACTTCTTTAATTTTTGTTTAAAAACTAATTTTGAAAAGCACTATCTAATCCAAGGTACTTTTAGAGGAAGCCGCATTAGACCAACTTCCTCTAAAAGTTCTTCTAACTAGAAAAATTACTTTCATAAAATTAGCCAAACGGATCTAAATGCTACTTTTGAATTCAAAAGCCTATTTTAACTTTTCGAAAGCCATGCCACACTAACCTTTAGAAATAGCTACTTTTAAATTTAAAAGCTTATTTTGACTTTTTGAAAGTCATGCCACACCGGCCTTTAGATATAGCAGGTGACTTACTTTTTAGCTTCTCAACATGATCAGTTAGCAAAGTATTCTGTAACTCTTATTACATATAGTGAGAGGTGAAGCGATTTCAACATCCTGGTCTATGTTCGACTATTTACACGATAAACAAGCCATTTAAATTGGCTTAAGATCACAAGCTATAAATGAATATATAAAGAATAATTTGCTTTCTACAACACCTGTAATGTATTCTCTGAATTTGTAGTCGACAGCACAAATCCTGCTCTCCTCTCCTCGAAGGAGTATTCAGTCTCTTCAGCATCTTCAGTTGGCTTGTCATTACACGGAAGAGCTGCAGCAGGAGCTGGCGTCATGGCCATCTGCATTGAAACGGATGCTGTTGAAGGTGTAGAAGGATGAGTTCTGGGAGTTCGATTCTCTTCCTCCATGGCAGAAATTATCGTGGAAGGAGTAGTAAGCTGTGTGTTGTTATTTGGAAGTGTCGTGTGAAAAGTATCGTTACTTTTTTCACTTGGATCTTCCAAATTATTAGTTGCATTCGACTTTGATGAATCCATGAAAGAAGATATGGGAGTGAACAGCTTTCGAATCTTAGGCGACTCTGTTTCACAAGCATTCATTATGCTGAGAGAATGCTGATTTGCCGGAATACTCGATGTCTCCAAACCTGTCCTCCAGGATAATGAAAGATAAAAACAAATGATATACATCTAAAATGTCTGAGTTACGTTGAAAAGCCATGTTAGGCACGAGGGTATATCATTATTTGACATTAAGCATGCCTTTTATACCTACATTGACCGTGCAACAAGTTTGGAAACCATATATGCTGTGGACCATTGTTTCAACTCAGTAAAAAAAGACTTGGAAACAATATTTTCCCTCAAATTATAAGGAGACGAGAGTATATATGGTCTAAACATGTTTGGATAGCTTACTTCTTGCTTAAGTAAAAGAAAGTTAATTACTTAGACAGTGTCAAAGGCAGAGGGTTCAAAATTAGAACCTTGCTTATTTCTAACTATGGCCATTTAACTTTAAAACTTACCCTTTTATTCATTTTTGAACTTAGAGATAAATATATTAAGCTTACCTTCTTCCCTAAGATTGTCCCGATTCACACGTTCATTTTTCTTGACATTGTGTGGTGTATTAGGAGTCTGCAGCATAGCTCCATTAAAAGAAAGACTTCTATTGCTTGGACCACCGGATGACGAACCTGGTCCTTTCTTGATACTTTGATTCTTCATCGGGCTCGATTTTGAACCATAAAGAACCTCCTGTTCGGCTTGTAACTGTCCCTGGAGTTTCTTTTGTTCCTAATGTTAAATAACGGGGAGAGAGAGAGAGAGAGAGAGAGAGAGAGAATAAGTCGTTGAAAAATTAGTTTAAGCATCACCATAAAAACAAGATAGAAGATATATATATACCCTCTGCCTTTTGCGCTCTAGCTCCTTTTCATGCCGTAAAGCAGTATACTCTTCAAGCATTGAAAGAAGACACGTCTATACATAGTAGACAAAGAGGACAAGGGAAATTTTTTTCTTAAGAAATGACAAGATCTGAGCAAACTTATAATTGCAGATCAACACTTACTTCGTCATAAGTAAAAACCACTCCTCTCTCATTTTGCCATGCTGAGGTCTTTGATGCCAATGCGTCCACCATTGCTATTCCATCAGAATAAAATAAGTCTAAATTGAATAATGCTTGTGCCTCGAGTTTCTTGCACCAAGATCACTAAAAACGTGGTTTCTAACAACAAATACAAATTATACCTGGAAGTTTACTGACTAACACACGAGCTTTTTCAGCACGTTTCAGATTAAGATGAGTACCTCTCCCAGCATTGTAGCGATTTTCATCCTGCAGAGAAAGTAGAATGACACTTGAGCAATTGCATGTTTGTAACTCAAGATATAATTATAAGCAAGTTGTATAAAGCACTTAACCCTATTATACTCCTCAAGCCAGTTCTCCTCCTCACGTGCAGCTATCCACTTCTCAACTCTTTCAAGTATTTCTTTCCTGCTAAGGGCTTCCTCTTTAACTTTAGCTATTTCACGCTCAATTTTTTCAAGCACACAAGCAGGATCAACAGCTCCTTTTATTAATAAAAGAATAGATATGAGAATATAAATCAATATTATGTGAAAGATATAATAATTATCCTCCACGTGTATAAGAAAAGTAATATAAAAGAAAGTACTGGATTCAATCGCATCAATAGTTATGTCCATTGTACTATCTGATTCTGGAATCAAATGCGTTTTCTTGCAAATATCTTCTAGCTCTGATTTCTTTTTTAGAACAATCTCCTTTATTTTGCTAGCTTTCAACTCTTTCAACCGAGAAACTTCTGCCTCAACCTGGATGACGATTACACAATTGCATTCATTTCCAATCTATACATTCGATACCAGAAATACAGCAAGGCACAACACAACGCTAATAAACACTCCAACTTACATAATTAATATATTCGATAGAAAGCATATTGGGGTCTGTTATCTCATTTTCTGAAGCAACTAGATTACAAGTAGCATTCTGAAATATCCGTTGCTCTTCAATTGGAGTGTCCATCAAGTTCCAAAGCTCCAATAATGAAGCAGCAAGATCTTGTAGCTGCCAATATTGAGCAGCAACAAAACAATCTAACTGAAAATATAACGATTTTTAAGTGACAGATGCCTAATGTAAAATTACATACCCGCTGCATCCTCTGTAATTTGAGTTCTCGAAGTCTTTGTATAGAAACTTCCAACTGCTCTATGGTATCACTGCTAATGTCTTTTGAACCTTCATTTTCCCCTAAACTGGGGTGAACCTCGCTGACAATTTGCATAAAATCCAAACCGAGCACTGAGCACACTGAATTCAAAGAATTCATGCTGTCCAGAACCTGCTTCAGACGTTTGCTCTTAAAGCGGGAAAAAAAAGATCAGTGAAAATATGTCAGAAGATCATTAGAAAACCATTTAAAATGGATGATACTGTCTAGGATGAAGAGAAAAACCTTTTCCTTATGAATTGACTGCAGCTGTCTGTGCAATTCTTCAAGCTTTCTTAAAGACAAATCAGTTTCATCCACTACAGTGTCACTAGACGTATTCTCTGCAGACCCATAAATTTCACTCTTAAGGCTTTGTATATGCTTTAAGACTTCTGTAAATTGATTTTTTCTATCGCATTTCCTCTTCCGCAACTCCTCTATCTGTGGAAGAACAGCACCAAGTTCCGCCTTCAAGCTTCCAGGGTTTTTATCAGACTGCACCATTGGCAACATTACAAAATATTTCATATCAAAATTTCGTTCATTTTTTCTTGTGAGCAAATCTTAGGAAATTGGTAGGACAAAATAATAAGGGAAAAAATGCGGACTTGAAGTATGTCGATCTTCGAATTCATATTTCAGTTAAGCTACGTTTTCTAATAACAACACTTCTAAGTAATCAATTTTCCCTTTTTTTTTGGAGTAAAATTTTATGTGTTTAGTGGAGACACAAGATTTAGAAATTATATTCAGGTTTAAACGGCCATAACGGTAATGTTAACAAAAGTTGTGCTTGTGTATGAATGTAAGATTTTTGTGTTGGCACCTTGAATGGTGGCATAAGCGCAAGACCACTATTCCAAAATCTTAAAAACATAATTATTCATTCTGACCTGCCTAGTATGTAATCGTCTTTCTCCCATGGCGGAGCAGATAGCAGCAAGCTCTGCTTCAGCATCAGCAATTGACTGCTTTAGCTGAGCTCTACACGTGTTAGCCCATTCTACTTTTCTTCTGTATATCTCTAAACATTCTTGTTCTAGCTCAAGCAACATTCTGTCCCGATCAGCATCAGATTCCCCAATCTCATCCCATAGTATCTGATAGTTTTACCAGCAAAGCATACACAAACAATTACAGCATAATGAAGACTAAGATTGCCATTGAACCAAGAACAAAAAATGTATTTTATAAATGAGGAAATTGAATGAACAAAATCAAGGCTATAGTTGAAAACTCATCATTAAAATTATATAAAAACCTGCAATTCATGTAAAAGAGATCCACAAGCGGTTTCCATTTGCAAAAACAAAGATTGGCCATTAGACATTTTATAGTTCCTTCACCTGCACAAAGAGGCCATCAAGCGCAAGTTATGTTAAAATATCCCACAACCGTATTTGAAAAGTATATTAACTTAAATGCAATAGATAGCCAAGAAAATACTGAACTGCTGCAGTGCAAATATACCAAGATTGCACAACTCTCCAAACCTGTTTTGACTAAATTGTTTTTTGTTCGTACCAAAGGGTGAGGCTTGATTTAAGTTTTTCCCACTTTAGGAACTACGATTTTCCCAATCAACCTAATACGGGAATTCTAACAAGGACAAACCGAATTCTACTAAAATTCACACCAGAAAACCAAAAACTAGTTTTTGTCTGTACATTTGGGAAACACGGTAATTCGGAATCATTTACTTAAAACTCTCAACTACAGCAAACACAAATACAAATAATTCATTTCTTTATACATCACTTTTTAAACGATGTTATGTTTATTCATACTTTTTCAAATCAAAGCATTTTCTAAACTTACAAAAAGTAGACTTTCTTTCGGTGATTTTTCGTGAACAGAATATAATATAGCTAATCCAGCTCAATTCAACCTAATCCCTAAGAATCAAATTGATAAATATTAGATAATGAACTAATCAACCGCAATATCGCACCATTTCTTAACGAGATTGTAAAATGAAAATTTACCTCCTTTTAATTGAAAGCAAAATTTACATTTCTTCATTTTCGCAATCCCATTTACGGAAAATATTAGCACATTTTAAGATACTAAGTCAGACAAACGAAAACCAAGAATGGACAAAAATTAACATAAACGTAGAACTGAGAAATAACTGAAAATTAAAATGAAAAAAAAGAAGAAGAAAACTTCTCTATCTCAATTCAGAAGCTCGGTGATAGATTTGCGGGATCGAATTTGAGATATTAAAGGATATGCAAATTGCTATTCCGTTTGCTAAAAGTTTAAGATAGAGAGAGAAAATGGAGAGAGAAGAAAGTTTAAAATTGGAGACTGTTGAAGACGAGAGTTTGCCGGGTTCATCAATTATGCTATTAAAATTTATAACCAACAATCTAAGAGAAAATTGCATCATTAGCCCTGATCTATTTTTTAGTAGCAATTTGATCTTCAAGCTTTGAAAATAGAAAAATTCTTCTTCTTATCTGTTAGGTAATATTTGATATATTAACTTTTCTTAATTTTAGAATAAAATGGAGAAAAAATGGTTTTTTATAAATACTCTCAATTTTGACATTATATTATTAACATTCATTTTTTTAATTATCACTATTTGTGTTTTTTTTTTTTTCATTATACTTAATAGTTATTTCATTTCTAAGCTTCAACAGTTCTTGCTTGCCACTTTTCAGATGAAAGATTTTGGTCAGCTCACATACTTCTTGGGCCTAGAAGTTCATTATCGGGATCAAGGTATTTTCTTAAATCAACATAAGTATGTTCAGGATCTTATTGTGCTGGCTGGGTTGGAGAATTCTTCTTCTATGGATACTTCTATGGAAGTCAATTTCAAGTACAGGAAAGAAGAAGGGGATCTTCTAGAAGACCCTTCTCTATATCGTCGTCTAGTTGGGAGTCTTATCTATTTGACCACCACTCATTCAGATATCTCATACGCCATCCATCAGGTCATCTAATTTATGTATTCACCTCGACATCTTCATCTTACGACCGTTCACCATGTTGTTCGCTATCTTCGTGGATCACCTACTCGTGGATTATTCTTTCCCAGAGGGTCTTCACTTCAACTCTCGGCCTACAGTGATGCTGATTGGGCTGGTATCCAGATACGCGTCGTTCTACTACGAGTTGGTGTATGTTCTTGAGTGATGCATTGATATCTCGGAGATGCAAGAAACAAGATCGTGTTTCTAAATCATCTACTGAGGCTGAGTATCGTGCCATTTCTTCAGCTTGTTTTGAGATTATTTGGTTACGTGGTCTTCTAGAGGAGCTTGGGTTTCCTCAGACTCATCCTACTCCTCTCCATGCTGACAACACTAGTGCTATTCAAATTGCAGGTAATCCCATCTTTCATGAACGTACCAAACACATTGAGATTGATTGTCACTTTATTCGTGACACTTTGACAGATCAAGTGATTTCCCTTCCCTACATTTCATCTGATTTTTAGGTGGCAGATATTTTCACCAAAGCAATAACTTGACTGCGGCATCAATTCCTTGTTGGCAAATTGATGCGGGTTGATCTCCCTGCATCAATTTGAGGGGGATGTTACCATATATAATTAAATTTATATTTGGGAAGAACACAGATTTTAGCACTTACGTTTATTTACTTTCCTTGTATATTCAATGATTGTAATATATATGTATGCAATAGAGACAATAAGATACACACGTTTTATAGAAATTTCTCTCAATTATTCATCACTTTTGACACAAATCATGTGCAAAAATTTCTTGATCTTCTGGGAAGAGCCCGAAGTAAAGAAAGAAATGCCTCAAGTCTTGAGGTAAATCTTTGTAACTCAAAGACAAGATTTTTGAACAACTATTTTCAACACGTGATGATGCTGTCAAGCACCTCTTTCCAAGCATGTTTATCTCTTTGCCGCAACATACCCACCGCAACCACAATTGCCAATGGCAACCCACCACATCTTTGTACTATCTTCTTAGCGATATCTTCCAATTCTACTGGAGGAAATCTCACTCATATTTTCTGAAGAAGATTTCATCGACTCGGAGAAGAGTTCCCAGCTCTTTTCTTGATCTAAGAGATCCAATTCAATCAACGAGCTTTCACCACCAATATATCTACCCACATGAGTATACCTAGAAGTAATGATAATTCTGCTACAATTTCTCGAATTGATGGGGATAACATTTATTAACTCATCCCAAGTTTCATTTTTCCAAATATCATCAAGAAAAATTAAGCATCTGTTTTCATTGAGAAGAGAACGCAAGTTGACCTCCAAATTTTCGTTCATCTTTTCATTTTCAAGGCCAACTTGCTTCGCTATTTCAAGTAGAAGCTCTTGGAGTCTAGGCTCATTTGAGACATAGACTAAGGCAGAAGAAGTAAACTCATTTCTCATTTCTTTATATATTGTTTTAGCAACGGTGGTCTTACCTACACCTGCCTCTCCTACAACACATATCATTTTACACTCCGGGTTTGAGCTCCTCAATTTTTCCTCGAGTTCCTGGAATTTATCTTCACGACCTACAACCATCGACTCCGTGGCAACTAGGAATTCTTGTCTTCGATTCCATACCTCCAAATCTGCATCACCTGTTTGATTTTATGTAGTTAATATTTATAAGATAATTGGTTAAATAATTTTAACTTAAGAGGACAATTATTTGGATAACTACCATAGAAGCTCTTTCCTACTAATTGGACACAGAAAATTAGCCCCCATTCTCTTATTTATAGAAGACTATCAAATTAAAAGTGCAATTTAGAGATCCTGATTTTTCATATTTATTATGTTTCTTTGCCAAAAAAGTAAAGAATAAAAATCAAAGAATATAACATGTTCAGATTTATATTGATCTAAATGGATAAAATCAGCATACCTTCATACGCATCCAAAATAATACGGTATCTTTCTCTTGTGGCTTTAATTTCTTGTGCCCGTCTCTTGATTTCTTCAATTTTCTGGGAAAAGGTATTGGTTATGCCACCAAAACACAGTATACGAGCAGTATGCTTAACGAATCGAAATGGACCCTTTCCCTTGTGTGATTCGCTCTGAATGTAAGTATCCAAAATATCCTCGAAGTCCAAAAGAAGATCTCTCGTGTCAATTATCGAGTTAGCAACTTCATGGCTTCCACCTTGCTTCGACTCGGCATCTTTGAGACATGATTTGAAGTAACTCATTTGTCGTTCAATCCGTTCCATGTCCTCCTTCAATCTATAAAAGCGTGAGCCGACAATTAGATTGGTGCGTCTCTCCACTGCTTGGTTAATGACTGCTGTAAGTACCGCTGACACATAGGAGACGATAAAAATAATTTGATTATTTCATTGAAGTTTTAATTAAAATGTTCAAAATATCCGGTATGTACAACCTGAACTGAGTGCAAAAAATTCAAAACAGCACAAAAAAGTCGAGACCCATAGAAATAAATAAAACCATCAACTTGACCCAAGATCTTTTATTAATCTTAATATTGTTTGCCATACCTATTTTGAAATAAAGTACCAATAATTCACAAATTGGAAACGTATGCAAAAGAATGAACAATTAGGAGCGAAATTTTATAGCAAAATATTAAAGTAGAGAAAATTGAGATTTATTTTAAGATCGCGTAACTATCTGCTTATTCATGCTTTTCGCTTAATATTAATTTGATATATCAAAATAATTAATGCAAAAATATCAGAATTGGACCATGAAATTCATTGGTTCTTCTTTTTATGATTGGGCTGCTGCCTTTTGGGCCTCCTCTTCTTCATTATTATTATTATTATTATTATTATTATTATTATTTTTTTTTTTTTTTTTTTTTTTTTTTTGGGGGGGGGTGTGGGGATTTTCAAAATTTAAAAAAAAAATTAAAATTAATTTTTTTTTTTTTTTTTTAGGTGGTGTTGTGGTGATTCTCAAAATTAAAAAAAAAATCATTTTTTTTGTTTTGAGAAACTAACAAAAAGAACGCATTTTCAATAATTTCAAAACAAACACTCAAAACACAAAATTCAAAATGAATTCAAAACTCAAAACACAAAACTGAAACATAAAGAGAACAGCCCCTTAGTTTTGTCCAAAATGCCTCGTCCAAATTGACGATGACATAATATTAAGTATTATAAAAAAAAAATAGTTGTGTTACAAGAATGAATAGAGACCAAGATTATCATTGCAGGGGATGACCATACTCAACTAGAAATTTTGATTAAAAACATATTAGTACAAGAAAAATACTATTTTTAGTCTATGGATTATGGATATTTCATGGATGGTACATATTTTATCCCTTTGATTCTTACCTAGTGATTTAATTAATGTCTTTCTTTTAATCGTTTGAACTTACTAGTATTTAAGAAGTGATAACATTTGTAATCCTCAGATGAAAAATAATAAAACACTGGATTATTTTTTGATATTGATCCTTACTCGATATTCATTAAGATTCAACGAGTTAGTTGATCTCGTGTCTATCTTATTTCGATCCCACTAAGAGCAATTCCTACCCAACGCCAATTTGGCATAGGACACCATTTTTGTAAAAAAACAATTGACCTCCAACCCAATTTTGGATCTTGATACTAATGGTGTTAAGAAAAATGTTTCACCAAATTCGTTTCAACAATGTTTATTTGGTATAATATATAGAGTTTTTCTTCATTCTCTTTTTGTCCTTCATTTTATACTATAATAAATATTAGTTTCTATTAAATTCCTTTTTATATTCTTTTATTACTTTATGATTAATTTTATTTTTAATTTTTATAATATTATTATTATTTTTAATAATATTTATAAAAAAATTTTAATCCCAATAATTAAGAATAAAGGTTAATTTCACAAACGGTCGTTGAACTTAAGCGTAAATTACAAAACGGTCACTGAAACTTAAAACTTTCAGTAACGGTCACTTCAGTTTCGGGACGCTTTCAAAAACGGTCATTAAAGTTTAAAAACTTACAGAAATGGTCCCTGAAGTTTAAAAACACTTTTTCAATTTTTGGGATGCTTTCACAACAAATTTTTGGCCACTTTCGATCATCGAAACTGTCGAATTTTGATACCGTTGGAAAGTATTATCCAAAATCTCTCCATAACTCTAGGGGATTCAACCAGAAAATCGCAGCAAAATTCGCCCAAAAAATCTAAAAATCTGCCCAAATTTTCAGATTTGACAGAGAAAATTAGCCCTCTTTCTCATATTTATGGAAGACTATCAAATTAAAAGTGCAATTTAAAGATCTTGATTTTTCATATTTATGTTTCTTTGCCAAAAAAGTGAAGAATAAAAATGATAGAATATAACATGTTCAGATTTGCGTTGCTCTTTGACAGATCTTATGTTTTTAAAAGCATTATATAAACGATCACAAGGAAAAACCGATCATAATCCAGTGATAAATCTTGCCTGAAAAGAAGACACGACAGAGTGTAATTGCTTCATTATAACACACAAAAGTAAAATAGATGTACCTTGAGGGGGCGAGATTGGCACATGCTCGCGAGGAGGAGAAATAGATGTACCTTGAGCGGGCGAGACAGGCACATGCTCGTGAGCAGGAGAACTGAAATTGAACGTGGAACTGAGATCCGACGAAATAGAAATAGAACTTAACCTGGAACTGACATCACTCGGGTCCAAGGAGGGGCCACGGGCAATTTCCCGATCCTTTTCTTTCCGTAGAACGGCTACAACCAACCTTTCCCAATTGTCTCTACTCATCGCCTAATGTTGCTATTTGGTTACAGCTTTTTGATTTTTTATTCTTTCACTTAATTTAAGCTTAAGAATCTGTAGATATTTCAGATCTAGAATAGGATGAAAACTTGTGTAGTTTTCGTATGCAGACATGGAAAATGACTTGGGAAGCTGGTGAGGAAACTGATGGAAAACCATCTTTAACGGAAAATTGTACCAGCGGTCCCCAATCTTTTCATTTTTTGCAAATTTTACTATAATCTTTATTTTATGTCAGTGAAGGTTCCTAACCTTTCATAAATATACACCTGAAGTTCATTTGAACGGAAACCGTCCAAAACACTATTAGTTGACCGGAAAATTTCAATAAAATAATGTTCATATTGTACCTACAGGATATTTTGAAATTTCAATAAAATAATCAAATTTTGTTCACCATTTCCGATTTGTCAAGTTGATTTTATTTATTTTTAGTTGTCTCAACCTTATTGAACTTGGAATCTTACTGAATTCTAAAATATTCATTTTTTTGTATTAATCTTTGGAGCTCATTTTCATCTCACTTTTAGACAATTTTAAACCGTTGCACAATACAAAGCCATTGCTTTATTCTTAATTTCTGACATCGAATTGATAACAATCTGTCAAAGTTAACTTGGAAAAGTAAAAAATACATCGATTTTGTTTGGAACAATAAGTGATCACATCTCAAGATTGGGGTAAAATTGGAAGTTGCCCATATATATGCATAACACCATTTGAACTAGTTTTCACATGGTGGGTCATGTGATGTGATAGAAGAATATATGTTTTTCCACAATAATGGCGCCCAAACGAGTATTCGTCCTTCGTAGCAACTGCATTATTTCGGTAAATTAATCATGAAAGTCTTTCTTTAATGATTAAAGTAAACAAAGATTAATGAAATAAAGAAAGCATTTTTTTTTATTTCAGTAAGATTTCAAGTCCAATAAAGTTGAGACAAATAAAGATAAATTAAAAATCCAATAATCTACCAACTTCACTATGAATTTCTAATCCTAACAAACTCGTTTGGAACAACAAATTTGAAATATTGTACCACTAATTGACAAATATGAGACGATAAAAATAATTTCATTATTTTTTTGAAGTTGTAATTAATTATGCAACAAGATGCTTGAAACAGGATGGGCCCTACAAACTAGGCTCGAGGTGGATTCCCAAAGTCGATTGTAGGTTATACAGGGTTAATTGCATTTAAGCCATGTGCTATCTTTTAAGCAAAGTTGTAACAATGACTTACACAGGATTGGGATTAGAGTTGATGTTTCGTGCTCGAGTTGATGTTAAAGCATTCCTGTGGCTGGGATAGATGATGCATGTAGGAGGTGAGTTTTTTTAACTTAAATTTGAATGATATTGAGTGGATCGCATTTGTGCCATAAACTATAATTTTTGGATAGAGTGATGACAGTACCCTACATCAAAAAATTCATGGAAAAAATATTGCATTTGATCTCTTCTATAATTAGAATAAAACTAACGCTCGGAAAATTTCTTTTTCCTTCAATTAGATTAGAATAAAACCAGCACTTCAGATTCTTAAAGCAATTCGGAGATTGAGAAATAATTTATTTGTATTTTTTACGAGTAGGTTAATGGGTAGATTGACATAATGATTAAACTTGAGGTGTCAAAGTTGAAATTGTTAGTAACACAGTAAAAACTCAAATCCTTTTTGTTTTTATAAAATAAAATAAAAATACAATTTATGCATTTTCAATTTCAATACAAAGATGAGAAAACGAAAAAGAACAAATCATATTATATAAACCAAACAATTCTTAGCACCATAAGCTTCTTTTTATCGATCGAATCTGTAAACTCTTAGGTCATTCTAGTCGAGGATGGATTTGGGGGCCCTAAAAACCTATTAAGATAAAAATATAGACCAACTTATAAGGTCTTAAACTACTCTTCTTGAAAAGATTGACATTTTAACATGGAATCCTAAATTTTAACATGGTATTAGAGTTCATTAAACTCTAACAAGCTATTCGATCCAATTAAAACTCAAAAATGAGTACATAGATTTCAAAATTGGTCTGCTCAAACGAGCCACTATCTTGTAGGAGTATGTTAAGGGATATAATCTCACATCGAATAAAGATGAAAATATAGACCAACTTATAAAGTTTTAGGTTGTTCCTCTTAACGAGATTGATATTTTAATATGGAACCCCAAATCTTTAGATAGTATTAGAGCTCATTAAGTTTCAATGAGCAATTCGATCTAATTAAGACTTAATAAATGAGCATACAGATTTCAAGATTGGTTTATTCAAACGAACCACTATTTTGCGAGGGCGTGTGAAGGAATAAAATTCTACATCGAATAAAGATGAAAATATAGACCAATTTATAAGGTCTTGAGCTACTTCTCTTAACAAGATTGACCTTTTAAAATGGAACCCTAAGTCTTTACAAAACCACTAGCGCATGTGAACAAGAAGCTCTAGAGATTGGAGTTGAAGAAGCTAACATCGACTGCTTGAAGCCATTTATCCCCATGAATAAATGAGCTAACAGTAAACTTTTTAGCTTCAGAAGCGAAAATATTAAGCTTCAAGCCAGTCGAATTCACTCTATTATTGGTTCAAGCTCAAGGGCCAAAATTTTGGAACTCAGCATAAAATATAAGCCCCGTTTGGCTCCATTTTTTCAAATTAAAATGGGTGGAATAGTATTTCTTGAAAAATTAGTGGTTGAAAAAGAAAGATAAGTTTTCGATTTATGTATAATGTTGTTTTATGAAAGATTGTATGATTGAAAATAGGAGACAGAAAAATGAAATTTAACTTAATGGGGCCTAACAGGAGCATAGGATCTGGTGCAAGTGCACCCATCCATGGCAGTCATCCTTTTAGATCATTCAAATTTCTCATAATATTTTGTATATAAACAGTTGTAGAATAATTTTTCAAGGCCTGCTAAGAAATGTGCCGACTCCAGTGAGATTTCCTAAGGGCAAAATATCGTAGTTTTGGATTGAAATTCCAATATTTTGATTGGGATCAATCTTGCCTTGTGCTATGATTATGTTTTATTGGCCAAGCATTGGATTCCTGGGAAGAATGTTGCAGTTTTGGAGCACAACTATCGAATTTCCAAAGATGAAGTCTACCGTTCCTGATGTTGCATTTGCAGTAGAATTGGTGGTTAGAGTGCGTGTAAAGTGTTTCTTGGAACTTGTCCATGCTCCATCGATAGCAGACCGAAGATCGGCTGTTGATAGCAAATGAACGACTTGTTGCTTAGCAACACCTGTAGTGTTGAGAAATCTCATATCTTGTATGATGAATCCTTGGCCAAACATTTGTGCTCAAAACGTTTAATTTACGCACTATCCGTTACAAGAAAACATCTACCCTCTTACCCCTCACAACTTTCTATTGCGTGTTCGAATCCCGAGAAACATTACAAAAAGTTGTGAGGGATAAAATGGACTTAAACTCTCCCACAACCCAAGCCTCGTGCCCAAACTGTTATATTATACATACTGTCTGTTTTGAAAGAGACTAAGCCCATCTTACCCTTCAAGGCTTTCTATCACTTTTTCTTTCGAACCCTTGACCTTTCTCTTAAGAATGATTTAAGTTGAATCTTAATACCATTTAAACACGTCAACTTAAGTTATTCTTAAGGGAAAAGTTAATTGTTCGAATCTTGAGAAACGTAATAGAAAGTTGTAAGGGTAAGACGGGTTTAAACTCTCCCACAACGGACAGTATGTATGATATTTAATGGCTTGAGCACAAAGTCTAGATTGTTATAGAAAGTTCATGCTTGCATGTACATTTTCCCGACAACGTCTCCCATTGCAAGGTGAGTGATGTTATTCATCTAGAGTTTAGATGACAATCGATCTATGTTACAGTTAGTCACGATCACATTGTCCAATGAAATTGGAATGTATTTGTATACATTAAAAAATGTGGCAGTGACCTCATCATCACATAGACTGATGAACATTTATAGGCTACATACAGAGCAATGCTCGCAATGCATTGAGAACTTGCTTTATTGTCTCAATTTTAATTTGAAAAAGTAAAACAGAGTCTTTGTCTAAAAGAATGGGTTGATAAATAACTACATAACTTTAAGTACTAAAACTTACCAAATGTTGCAGATTAAAATATAGGAGTTCTATAGATAAAATTGAGGCTGCCGTAAACAACGGTAAAATTCATTCCACCGCTGACAATCATGACATTCCATTTGGTTTTATCACCTCTAACATTTTTGACATAAACTCCCACCTTCATGTAGATAACGAATCTCGTGTTATTATTATCGGGTACATCCTAAAGGGCATCCGATTATTGTCATGCATTTCTGGAGACCATCTTTTGCCACCAAACATCAGCCTTCATGTTTGAATGTGAAATTTGCAATAGTTTCCTAGCCTTAAAGGACAACCAGTTAGGCACCTCAATGTTGCCGAAACTCGCAAAATAACGACGGCAAGACCGTTGCTCATATACTCGATTGAATTCTTAAGGTATCAACCCACAAAACTACTTAATGCATTTAGGCCATCTAAGCAAGTATGCTGATATGTAATTGCAGAGCTTAAGTTCTTAGATCATCGAATGCCTTTAGAAATTTCATTTCCTTTAAGGATAATGATTTATTAAGATGATCCAATGAAAGAGAGAGTAGCTCTTGGCAACTTTCTATAGCTGCAAGTGTCATTTTATCTGAGATATTGAATTTTTCAAGTCCATTCTCAAGGATGTCGTTGGAGATCTTAGTAAGCTCGTTTATTGCAACTTGAACCGATAATTCGAAGATATCATTGGGCTGGAAATTACCAAACTTGACAAGAGGAAAAAGGCTATTGTAACATAAATCTGGATATAAAGTAACATTACAAATAGCTTTGATGGAAGAGGAAGAGGAAATGGATTGATTTTCAGAATTGCCCTTTTTGCTGTGAAAAACTCCAATAACATTGGCTACTATAACAACAAGAAGAAAAATAGAAGACAAGCCAACAATGGTGATTCTTCTTCTTGTTTTTCAAAGTGAAATTACCCTTTCTTGGTCTGATTCATTGAGTTTTTCATAGGGGGTGTTGAGAGATGTCATGGCTGGAAATCTTTGTCTTTTTTTTGTTTG